TAATCAATGAAAATAAACTGAAATCAACGAAATTATTATCGACGCTTTCGATTAAACAATACTGTGATAATTAAAACGATAAAACTTAACGACTTAAAAACAGAAACATCTTGGGAGGAGGGAAAAAAACGCATCGCTTTAATTAATTCGTATTGTTCGACGTTCTTATTAATATCGACGTTCTTGTTGCTTGAAATCTTTTCGCAAAAAAAAAGAAAAAAAGAAAAAGAAAAAAAAAAAAAAAAGAAAAAAAGAAAAAAGGAAAGTAAGAGTAAAAAAGAAATAAACAAGCAATAAAAATAAAAATAAATAAAAAAACGAAAAGAAAAAGAAGAAAGAAAGAAAAAAGGAAAGTAGTAAAAAAGAAATAAACAAACAATAAAAATAAAAATAAATAGAAAAGAAATAAAAAAACGAAAAGAAAAAGAAGAAAAAAAGATGGAAAGGAAAGGAAGAAAAGAAATAACGTTTTTCATAAGAAAGGTCAACGTAGGCAATCTCTTCTTTGATAATACTAACGTCGTTTCAACGAAAAAGTGACTCGAAGAGGAGATCCTTCGTGGATTCTTCGTCGACACAATATCGTAGTGGAAAACGTAGAATGGAAAAGATTCGCGAGTACGAAGAGAAGTACGAGAGGAACGAAAATAAGAGAAGAGAGCATTCGAGAAGGATGTAACGCGAAACCGTCTACCGACTACGGCTCATAAAACCGCGCGTTTTATGCTGATGGCCTGCTGATGGTCTCGGGGACATTGTCACGAACGAGTCAAAGAAGAAAAGAAAAGAAAGAAGAGAAAAAAAAAGGAAAGGAAAAGAAAAGAAAAGAAAAGGGATGGGATAGGGAAGGAAAGGGAAGGGAAGGTGGGGGAAAGGAAAAGGAATAAAAAAAAAAAAAAAGGAAAGGAAAGGAGGCCAACCGAGACGAAGAAGAAAAGACGAGGTAGTAAGATGGAATGCGAGCTTAAGCAAAAAAAGGAGAAGAATTAAAATGGGCATACGGGTATCTTTTACTTCTTCTTTTTCTTCTTCCTCTTCTTCTTCTTCTTCTTCTTATTTTTATTCTTACTTTTATTCTTATTTTTATTCTTATTTTTATTCTTATTTTTATTTTTATTCCTATTCTTCATCCTCCCCTTCTTCTTCTTCTTCTTCTTCTTCTTCTTCTTCTTCTTCTTCTTCTTCTATTACTAGTTCTTCTTCGATCGATTCGCCTTCGTCTTCGACTCCCATCAAAACTTCTTTTCGAATGACTTTTGGCACTGGAGCCAAATGTTAAGAAGCGCCAGGTGTTATCTATTCGTTAAGTATTCGAGAAGAAATTTTCAAGGAGACAAAAAAAAAGAAATATATATAATATATATATATATATAATTTCTTCGTAATATTGTCCGATAATTTCGTTTTAATTCGTCCATTCGACGTCCACCTCGAGAGAATACATTATACGTGTATATTTTATTTTCATTAATTACGAATTTCGAAGTAATCGAAAGAAAGATTTCGAAGAAGGGAAAAAACAAAATCGTCGTTTTCATGGAACCGAACTTTCTTGTTTTAAAAGTATGAATAAAATTGTTCTTTCGTTTTCCTTTCCTCTTTACTTTTGTTTTCTTTTTTTCTTTCTTTCTTTCTTTCTTTCTTTCTTTCTTTCTTTTTTTCTTTCCTTTTTTCTTCTTTCTTTCTTCCTTCTACATCTTCTTCTTCTTCTTCTTGTTTCTTTTTATTTTTTCTTTCTTACTTCCTTTTCTTTTTTGTCTTCTCTTCTTTGTTTTTCTTTGCTTTTCTTTTCTTTTCTTTTCTTTTTTCTTTTTTTTTTTTTTTTTTTTAAATATCACTATGAATATTCATGATCACGTTCAACTTGTTGTTTGAGATTTCAGTATTAGGAATGAAAACGAAATGTAATTTACGACGAATGTATTTTTAAAATATTCCTCAATTTGCGTCTCGTTAACATCGGCAAAGTGTTGTACTCGAAGCTTACTTGTGAAACGAATTAATCACAGAAATGAAATGCCCGATGTAAATTGAGAAGAGTGTTTGGGGGAAGAAGAAAAAAGAAGAAAGAAGAAAGAAAAAAGGAAAGACAAAATAAATAAATATATATATATATATATAACAAACACAAGGTACACCGACTGGGAAGACATTAAGAGGATTAGTACTCTAATGGTTAGACCGTTGTTAAACTAAAATAAATACGGCATACGCGAGAACGAACGTGTAATTATGCGAGTAAGTAGTAATTACCGAGTGGGAAGAGAGAAAAAGAGAAAATGAAAAGAAAAGAAGAAAAGAGAAAGAAAGAGAGAGAGAGAGAGAGAGAGAGAGAGAGAGAGAACGTCGAGTAGAACCAGTGAAATTTTCTGCTCTTGGAAAGGGTTCGAGAGAATGGAAAAAGAAAAAAAGAAAAGAGTTGAAAAGAGAAAAGAGAGTAAGGATGGGAGGATGGAGGAGGAAAAAGGAAGGAAGAAAGAAAGAAAGTAAAAAAGAATCGATAAGCGATAATAAAAAATTTGAGAGAGAAGGAACTTGCGAATGAAGAAATCAAACGATAGGGACGAGGAAAAAAAAAAAAAGAAAAAAGATAGAAAAGAAAAAGAAAAAGAAAAAGAAAGGATAGAAAGACTGTTATAAGAATAAGAGAAAAGAGGGCGAATCGTTAAAAGTTCGAGACGCGTTAGTTTGGAAGGGTTTCGAGAAAATAGCCAAAGTTCCCAGGAGGCTCGTTCGTCGGTGCCTTTATTATTTTATATTTCGCGGGAAGAAGGAAGAAGGTTGAAAGGGAGGTAAGAAAGGAAGGGAGTAAGGGAATAAGGGTGGGAGTAAGTAAGGAAATAAGGAAGTAAAAAAGAATGGGGAATGGTATATACGGTTGGTAAGAGTAGAAAAGATAACAGAAATTATACGCACGTTTCAAAGTGAAACAATCGTTAGTGGAGACGCGAAAGTTTAATTCGCGATGATACGCGAAGACAACGGCTGATTTCATTCTTCGCGAAAATCTAGAAGAGATTTGAAGAACCCTCTCTTCTCGTTTCTACTTTACGTTTTTCCCCCTCTTATTTCTCACCCGATGTATTTTTCTTTATTTTTTTTTCAATCTATCTATCTATCTATCTATCTATCTATCTATCCATCCGTCAATTTATCTATCTATCTTTCTCTCTCCCTCTTTCTTCGTCACTGTCTCGATCTTTCTTTATCAATTTCTTTGAATATTCGATGATTGTTGAATGTATACATATATATGATTAAACATTGATAACGTATCTAAAAGAAAAGGAAAGAAAAATTGTTCTAATTTTTTGTACTGCTTCGTGCACCTAAAAAAAAAAAAAAAAAAAAAAAGAAAAAAAAGAGAGAAAAGAAAAGAAAAGAAAAAAGAAAGAAAGAAAAAAATGTGGTGAGGAAAAAAGAAGACTTGTTTCTTTTTTTTTCTTTTTTATATATATATATATATATATATATATATATATAAAGCAAACGAAAGATACACGATAAGTAAATAAACGTTTATTATTGACGAGCGAAGATTAATGAATGAATAAATAACGAATTTCTATATGCTGATCTAACGTGACTATCATTTAGATTCCAAGCTTTCAAATGATCAAGCTTGGAAGGGGTTTCGTGTTTTGGTCAAGCGAGTTGTTCGCGTAACACGTGTCCAATAAATGTCATAACGTTTGGAAGTGGAGTTTCGACCGGTCTCCTCTACTACTACTGCTACTACTATTACTGTTACTATTCTATTACATCTCTACGTAATTCATCTGCTATATAATAATCGTTTAGTATGATCCTCTTAGAGCGCTTATTTACACATATTATATATATATATATATATATATATATATATATATATATATATATATATATATATATATATATAAGTAGAGAAAGAGAGAGGAAAAGAGAGAGGGATGATAATGACGATGTTGAAAAGCAATGTAAAGAACATTCCCGTTGATAGTTCAAACAAAAGTGAACGAGTAAGTGAGAAAGAGGAAGAGAGAAAGAAAGAGAGAGAGAGGGAGGGAGGGAGAGAGAGAGAGAATATAATACTGCTAGTTACGGGAGGTTTCTAGCTAGGCCGGATTAAACGTGGATGCTGTGCGTTTCAGGTCTCACGTTCTTCTCCATTCGGAGTATACAGTTGAAAGCACGTACCAACGCATTTCCAGAATCACCGAATAAACACACGAGCGAGTAAAGCTTGCTGGAACGATTGCAGAGCATTTCCCCTTTTCGATGTGCCACCTGTGTTACATACATATCGTGTAATGACGACCTGATTGATGTATCGTGTTTTATATATATATATATATAAAAAAAAAAAAAAAAAAAAAAAAGGTAGAGGGAGAGAGAGAGAGAGAGAGAGAGAGAGAGGGAGAGAGAGAGAGAAAAAAAAGAGAGAGAGTGAACGTGTCAGATTGCCGCGCTCTGGTTCACTAAAAACCGATTAAAACGAATCGGTGAAAGGATGAAAAGAATAAAGAAAAGAGGTGAGAGAGCTACTTGCCTGTCCCATTAGAAATTCCTTCTTTCGAGCGGTTAATTAACGAGCCAAGTTTTCCACGCATACCAGATAAAGCACGTCTATTTCTCTCTTCCTCTCTCTCGCTCTCTCTCTCTCTCTCTCTCTCTCGGTCTCTCTTTCTCTGTCTGTCTATCTATCTGTCTGTCTGTCTGTCTTTCTTTCTTTCTTTCTTTCTTTCTTCCTTTCTTTCATTCTTTCTTTCTTTCTTTCTTTCTTTCTTTCTTTCTCTACTTGTACCTCGTTTTCCTCGTTTCTATCGTATCTCTTTCTCTTTTTCCACATATTTCATTTATATTCATACGTTACTTTTATAAAGTTATTTCTTTTTTTCTTTTTTTTTTCCATTATAAATTATCATATTATAATCAAAAAAAAAAAAAAAATATATATATATATTCCTGTATTATAATTTATATTGATGGATTACAATTTACAATTAATATGATAAATATTTCTTCTATCTATCTTCTTTCTTTTTTTTTATGCCTCTCATCTTTTCCATAGATACATGATGATTTATATTTATAAATTGTTGAAAATGTTTGAGGGAAAAGAATTTTTTTTCTTATTGAACATTATCATATCACATATAATTAAAACTTCTCTCTTCATCTATCTTTCTATTTATCCATCTTTCTTTCTCTCTCTCTCTCTCTCTCTCTCTCTCTCTTTCTATCTATCACATTTTATTATATCGATAAAATCTCAGTGAGATAAATATTTCTTCCTTCCTTCTCTTTCCATATGTTTATCTTATTCTATTTACCTGTCCATCTTTTCCTATCCGTCTGTCTATCTTTTTCTATCTACTTGTCCATCTTTTTTCTATTTCACCTATTTCTATATATATATGTCTATCAGTTTGCTTGTCTGTCTACCTCACCGTCTATCTGTCTGTCTGCCTGTCTGTCCGTCTGTCTATCCGTACGTCCGTACGTCCGTCCGTCCGTCCGTCTTTGTCTCTATTTATCCGTCTGCATGTTCCCTCTTAACTTTAACTAAATCCTTTCATTTCTTATTTCGAGTATTCTCGAAAAGCGCCGCGAAAAGTGGCGAAACTCTGTGAAAAGTCCGATGTTAATTGTAACGTAATGTATGTAAAGCCCAGCATGCCACAAAGTAAAGAGGACGACGAGTGCGAGTGAGGAGGTGTGAGTAAGGGATGAGGGGTGAGTGGGGGTAGGGCAAACTCGTTCAGTTCGTGGGGAAAATGGGAGCGAGGAAGTAAGTAGACGGTGAACAGGGGGGAGGGGGTAGGTATCGCGTAGAAGATGGTAGCAAAGGGGTGGTACTAAGTACCGGGACGTTGCTCGCGGAGCTTCAGGGACGAAATAAGCGACGGTAAAAGTAGGGGAAAGAGCGATCGTGGCGAGAATCCTTGGAGACCAGCCAAAGTGTCGGCCGTTGTATTATAGTCATTACGAGAAACTTATCCTGAACGTTGTACGTCGCGCGAACGAGAACGTTTCTCTTTTTAGAAAAGAAAATGAGAAAGAGAGAAAGAGAAAAAGAGAACTCGTAAAGCTTGCTCTCTCTCTATCTCTCTCTCTCTCTCTCTCTCTTTCCCTCGTAAAATTTGCTCTCTCTTTCTTACTTGCATTTTATCTTTATCTCTTTCCGTCTGTCTGTCTGTCTATTTGTCTGTTTGTCTGTCTCTCTCTCTCTCTCTTCCCCCACTCTGTTACTCTCTTGAAAAAAAAAAAAGAAAAGAAGACATGCACAAGTTTTATTCCATTCGAAACTTCCCTTTTCGACGTATTTCTATCCGAATGCACATGCCAAACAACGATGATTACGATGGTACGCCTTCGAGCACATTCACCTTAAAGAACTTGCCAAGTGACATCCTGTGAAAGTCTACCTCCGATCAAAGGGACCGAACTTTGAGAGTCGAGAGAACTTTCTCATTTTTTTTATTTATTTATATATATATATATATATATATATATATATATATATATTATTCTTTTTCTTTTATTTTATTTTATTTTGTTATGTTTTGTTTTCTTTTCTTTTATGTTCTGTTCTGTTCTTTCCGTTCATTTTCTTTTCTTTTCTTTTTGTTTCTATTTTATCTTTTCTTCTTTTCTTTTTTCAATCGTCCTTACAATTAGTGCTCCCTCTCGCTAACAAGATCGACAACGTACGTGATCGTACGACGATTCCCGTTTCTTCTCTTTTTAGAGTTCTGTAATTTTATAATATGTGTGTACATATATATATATATATATATGCATGTGTGTGTACATATATATATATATTTGCGTGTGTGTGTACACATATATATATATATGTACAACAAAAAAGTAGATACGAAAAAAGGAATAAAAATGATACGTTTGTAGTTAACTCGTCAGCTGACAAGATTTGTACATATAACTCTATTAAAACGATGGACATAGTTTTTGTGAAGTATGTAAAAAAGGAAAAAGAAAAAGAAGCGAGCGAGCGAGAGAGAGAGAGAGAGAGAAGAACAGTATGAAAGGATAATAAAAAAAAGATTTGTAGAAAATGTATAAAAAATCGAATAAATTTTTGTAATTTTTGTTTAAAGTCTATACGTTCGCACAATCAAATCAGACATTTATAGAAATAACTTTATTATCGAATAATAATAATAATAATATTATTAAGAAACTCTCTCTCCAATATAGTTCTGTGATCTCGTGAATAGCCATCCTCGAATATCACGCGTCTTTCCATCGACATAGACGATCCATCCGATGTCTTAACCACCGTGTAACGTCGATATGAAGAGCACGGTGTCTCTCGGTTGTAGAACGTAATCTCCTTGGCCCTGTAAACACCGATAGATATTCCTTCGTGTTACGAAGGATCTCGCGTAAATTGAAAGGGAACGTACATATGTATATATGTACATTTTCACTTTGGAATAGAATCCTTCTCGTTATAACGTCACTGGACAAGAATGAGATCTATTACAATACTCGAGAAATCCAAACGAGAGTTTCCCTTCAAATTTACGAATTGATCCTGACGAGGAAGAAAGGAAAAAGTATTCCAAGGAAGGACGTCGCATATGAGATGAAGCAGCATTTAGGAAGGAAAAGAGGAAAGCAAAGGAACTTGCAAGCTATATTTCTCTGTGTGTGTGTTCGCGCATGTAAATGTATATATAAAGATATATATATGTATGTACGTGTATATATATATATATATATATATATGTGTGTGTGTGTGTGTGTGTGTGTGTGTGTGTGTGTGTGTGTGTGTGTGTTTTGTGTGTATGTAAGAAAGAGATAGATATAGAAAGAGAGCAGAGGGTGAAATGTGAAAGCGAGACAAAGAGACGTGGGAGTCGAAGTGTGCGAGAGAAGCTTTACGAAACGTTGGTATTATCATAATAATGGCCGAACCCATCATCCTTCTCCCGTCTGCTTTTTGGTTCTCCCTCTACCCTTCTTCCCTTTAAAAGTAGCTACGAGCTCTAATAGCGCCTCACAGCCTATACTATACATTTACAAATTTAAAATGATAATTTTCCCGCGGGTGTGGCGAGCCAAGATGATTTGCGCCCTTTTCGAGAGAGAGAGAGAGAGAGAGAGAGAGAGAGAGAGAGAGAGAGAGAGAGAGAGAGAGAGAGAGAGAGAGAAGAGAATACGAGAGAGGGAGGAAGAAAGAGTTGCTAACGCTTTTCAAGCTCCCACAGTAAATGTGTTTGATGTTACGTTAACTCCGTTACAATATTAAATGGAATGGAAAATAAATTCTTATATATTTTAGGGTATCATATTTTTAGGGAGATACGTTCTCAGTTGAAGTATATTTTTGGAAGTAATTGTTGATAATTATTTCGTTGATTAAATTTTTTTAAGATCCTCTTTCTGTTCGAAAGTATCTAATGCGATGTTGATAAGTGTAGATTCCTGTAAGTTGTTGTCTTCGATACTATACGTCAATGATCAGCCATTGCCACAAACTTCAGAGACGTCTAGCGGCGAAACTAACTAACTTCATACGAATCTATTTCTCCCATGGTTAATTCTATTTATTCTTTTTTCTTTTTTTTATTTCTTTGTATGAAGCAAAAAAGAAAATAAATAAAACGATTTTAATGTTTATATTAAAATAACATCATTAATCAAGAGAACATTAGAATGCTAGAAGGAAGGAAAGAATAAAATTGGTATATGTACGTGTATAGAATTAAACGATATAACCTAAATAAAACTTACCAATAATTCCCAATCAGTGTCGTTTACAAGAACAAGAATTCCTGGTCGTCTGAAAGATCAAATTATAACTTTCAATTTTAATTGTCAGTAATTCACATCGCTACGATTCATTTTTGAACATTATAGACACTTATATTTTCCCGCGTTCGCCCGCCAAATGAATTCGCGACGCTACCTGTCGGAATAAAATGGTACTACAAAAGCTAGTTGCCATGATGAAAATGTGAACGTGTCATTGTACATAGAGCAAAGGAAGGTGAGTGAAATTGGAAGGAAGCCGCGTGGATTATTACAACATTTTTTTCTGCATGTGATTATTCTGATTGAAAGAGCATCTACGAGATTGAATTATTGATGAGAAATATTTTTTGTTTTGTTTCTTTCTTTTTCGTCATTTTCTTGTTTCTTTTATTTTTTTTTTTTTTTTTTTTTTTTTTTTATTTCTTTTTCTTGTAAAAACGTCAAAAAGAAAAAAAAGGAAAGTTTTGGAAACAAAAATTACGAATAATAGATTTTATTAAACGTTACTTACACGGTATCCTCTTGCATAAATAGTTCCAGTCGTTCCTTCAAGAGGTTATCTTTTATCCAATGTAATAAACGTTTCAATTTCCCTACGAAATATCACATTATCATTATTCAAGAAGATTTATATAACAAAGAGAGATTTTATTATACACTTACATTCGCCAGCAGGTAAGTTAACCTCGTGTTTTTTCTTCTTATCGAACAACGATTCGGCTCCACCTCTGTAAAAACAATGTAAATGAACTGTGTATATAAGTTGCCGTTGGTGAAATGTTATAACTGTCATTTCGTATTAAAAACACTCGGATAATTTTTTATATATTTCTAATGACATTTACCCAAACTCAATCGTTATTGATAGAGATTTATTTTCGGAAGGCATTTTTTTTTTTCTTCGATTTCCTATTTCCTTTCTTTTCTTTATTTTCTCAATAATCCGCACACTTTCCAGTAGCACGCTTCCGTAAACACAAGCGCGCACGCATGCGGCATTCTAATCTGAACAAGAGGAACGTTCCTTATTTTCAGAATTTGGACGACAGTACTGTCTGATCGCCGTATTTAATTTTAATTTTATTGATATTATTAATATTATTTAATTAAAAAAAAAACAAAAATAACTTTTTATTCAATGATATACATATATTAAATATTATAAAAATTTATGAATTAATTTTTATTATATACATGTGAATGTATATTCTTAAAATTGAATTTCCTGTCTTTCACAAAAGATATTTAAGATAATACTTTGATATAAATCGAAGGAATATCGTAAAATACATTGACTACGTTTATCAAAATTATTACAATTTTCCAAAAATATACATATATATGTATCTGTGTATACTTTTGAGAATAATTATTAAATTGTTTAAATAATGATCAATTTTCATCGTACAGCCCTGTATGTAAACGCGGTTTGTTAGTTCCGTTAGAGGCGCTTGACATGTAAATATTCTCGTCGGTTCTTAATAATATTCATAAAATGATAAAGCTTAAAAGAGTGCTGTAGTAAAGTTAATAATCATATCGTTGTGTACGTGTGTTTTTTCTTTTTTAATAGAAAACGACAAGATAGAATAAAAATAATTCTTTTTAAAATTATATAAATTGAAAGGGATTTTACGTATTATATATACACACACTTTTTTATATATATATATATATATATACATACATACATACATATGTACATAAGTTTTACACACGTTTAGACTCGCTCTGAAAGGAGGTGAGTTTAAAATGGCGGACGGCGCAATAGACTTTAATATCTCCAATACGAATTATTTGGATCCTATTGAGAAATATTGTAAAAGTGTGCCTAATACTGTCTTATCTCCTGATGGTTAATAACAATCAACTTTAAAAATATTGATATAACGGTACTAACGAACATTAATTAACTTTAGACATGTCGAAACAGAAAGAACATATTTTGAGCGACATCGAGATGAGCAATCAAACGGAGAAAGAAGAATCAATTGAGAATCACTCGAAAAGCGTGGAAGTTATGGCAATGGCACATTCTGAAACACCAATGTTAGAAGACGAAGAAATGCCGACGTACATTAGTGTTTCAACGTCCTCTAAATGCGAAGATTCAGATATCAGTAATGCAAAGCATCATGAGGAAGAATCACCTACAAAGGAACAATCTCGTAGTCCTTGTACAAGTGAACGAGAAGGCCCTGCTAGTGTTTATGTTCTCTCGTCCGAAGAAGAAACAAATTACGAGGAATATTATAGAGATTACGGCGAGAGAGATTATGGCGATAGCGATGGTAATCCAAATAATATTTTATATATTCTTTGAATATTTTTTTTATTTATATTTTATATCTTATATTTATTGTTAATATTTAACACATTGTATCTAGATATGGATGATATAGAAAATGATAATGACAATGGAATGTTAGATGATGACGATGAAGATGAGGTAGAAAATGTACCAGAATATGGATATAATGATGAGGAATATGATGATAATTGGTTGGAAACTGCGTCAGATTGTTTAGGGATTAAAAGTAAATTGAAAAAGAGATATAGAGATAAAAGTCTCTCTTTGCAAGATTTAACCATTTTTCAAAACAATGCTTGCGATTCAGAATTGGGAAAAAGAAACAGGTTGAGTATTTAAAAATATTATTAAAGTGCTTTGTAAAATATTATGTATTACAAAAGTTCAATTTTTTTTTTCCTCTTTTTTTTCTTTCCTTTTTTTTCTTTTTCTTTTTTTTTTTCCTTTATAGATACAAACATATAGAGAGCAAAGTAAAAAATTACATTAATGATATAAAAGAGCAAAATAAATTTTCTTCGCAAAGACGTTTACAAGATCAACAAGCATTTACAGGAGAGCATATAAAAGATAGAAATTGTGCAGATGGAACAGGTAAAATATTATATATATATATATATATATATATATATATATATATATATATAAAATAATATTTAAAGAATAGAAATCTAATCTATTCCATACATTGTCTAGGTATTGACGTGGAACAAATAAAAGATATAAAAACAAATAAAGTTATAAAGGACTATGCAGAAAGAGCTATTAAAGATTTAGAAATTGAAGAGTCGTATACAAATAAAAATCTATATATGGCTCCAATAACGGAAAATGGTGAAGCAGAAGAAGAGGAAGAAGAGGAGGAAGTTGTCATTGATAAACATAAACAAGATACGAAGTCTGCTGCCATAGATATGGGAGATAAAGAATTTTTAACTTCTGGAAAAAAAAATGGAAAACGTAATGGTTCAGTCCAAATCAATATACTTAATCATAACTACAATCAATTTCCTGTTCAAAAAAATCTAAAATTCACAGATGAACAACCTTTGGTTAATGGACATCGACGACAATTAAGTCTATTCAATCTTCGCTCGTTAAGTTACGATGAATACATGCAGAATAATACGAACGTCACTCAAGATGAGCAGTTAAACAAAGATATGAATATTGAACAAAATGAAAATAATGATATTCAAGCTTACAGTGATGTTGATGTTATAAATACCATTGAAGCTGACAATAGTAATGCAGCCTGTTCATTAAAAATAGAAAATGTGAAGAGCATTAGGGTAATGAACGAAGAATCAAAAGACAATACAGAAACGAAATTAGAAAAAATAAATGAGGATACCGGTAAAAGTAATTTGGAAACCATGCAAATAACATTATTGAAGAATCAACTCGATCAAAAAACTATTCAATTTAATAACTTAAGAAATGCGTATCAAAACACTCTGGCAGAAAATTTAAAGATGAAACAAGAATTGGAAGAATTAAAAATGTCTCTCACAAAACACAATAAAGAAAATCGAACTTGTGAAACAAAAGTAGTAGCGGTACAAACTGACGTAGCGATAATTACGGAATCAGTAATAGAAAATAAAGAAATTACTGATATTAAAGAAAATTCTAACAAAATATCTGGAAGTAGTATTACATCTGCATTGAGCTCTATAAATCAATGGACGGATAGTGCAGGTAGTTCTGGTATATCTATTAAACCACCAGATCTAGGTACGGTATTAAATTCAGAGGATAGTTTAGTGATGACAGATGATACACCTAGAAAAATAAATCGTCCTTTGTCACGAGCATTTGTCACATCTTCCAGAATATTACAAACACTTTCAAATATAACACAAGGTAAATCAAAGTCTGATATAAGATCTACTTCTAACAATAGTAATAATCGTTCTGTTAAAAGACCAAGTGGAAGTGATGAAAGTGAAACCGTCAAGGAAAATGATGGTTCAATAATAGCTGGTTCTAATACCTTCACAATAAAATCACCGCTCAATACGAAAAAGAGGAAAGCCACTGAAATGCTTGGAAATTCAATATTTTTGCAACCATTGAAAATACCACATACTGCAGAAATAAAAAAAAAATCAAGTACGACTACGTCTGATTTCAATATAGATTTCAAAACACCAGATAATTACAGTGATACAAAATTAGATACACAAAAGAATAGAATAAATAATGTAAGTCGTTCGGCTAGTCCTACAAACGTAGAAAATAAAAATGATAAAACAGAAGACATTGAAAATGAAGAAAGTAATGTAAAATGTTTTGTATATCAAGAAGATGAAAATATTGATGATCGAAGTATTTTGATACAGGCAGAAATACCTAATAATAACGATCAAGAAACAACAAATATAAATTGTATACGTGAATGCGGTCCATATCTGCTTGGTAATGTAGAAGTACGTATGTCCGAAGTAAATGGTACGATCAACATTTGGGGCAAAGAGGCAAGTATATAAGTATATGTATATATATACTCTTGAACTTTTTTACTTTTTGAATAACTGCAAAGATTAATCTAATCATTTATTTGAATGTGATTTCTACAGATAAGTGAAACATCAATAGCCGAAAAAGAAGAAGATTTAGAAGTATCAACAAAATCACCTTACATTAATAAAAAATGTATTTGTTTGCAAAACACAGTTACACCACATAGAAAGTTCAATGGTAGTCAAATGGTATGTTCAACGAACAAAAAAGTAAAGTTACCACCTAAGTGTAATGAAGGACATAATTCGCATCAATACTTGAATGTACCAACTAGATCAGATGAAAAAGTATATGTAGATAACTTATTGAGTCCAAGCGCTTCTGCTGCTTCGTGTGAAAAGTGTATTTTATTGAACCAACAAAAAGAATGTTCCATACACAAACGACATACTAATCTACATGAAAAATCACATTCCTGTTGTTTACATCATATAGAGCATTTAGAAAGAGATTATAAATATGTATGTGATTGTGAAAGACTAAAACATATTAATGATAGTCCTAATTGTGTTAAAGAAGGATTTTGCACAGAAAAGAAGTTCCCATTTAGAAATACGCCAAATTCTAGGAAGGATTTGTACGAATATATAAATCCAACAGTCGATGCCAAAGAAGTGATATGTAAGCATCGAACTACGTGTCGTCGATCTTCTTTACATAATACAGAGGCGAATTTTCAGAATGATATGAAATGCTGTAACACGATTAGAGAAACATCACACACGTGTAAATCAACGTTAGGATGTATGGGTAATCACGATAGCGGTGTTGAACATTTTTATAACCATAGTCCAATTGGTAACAACGATGACCTGTTAATCCCAGAAAGAAGCTCCTGCGAAACACCTGAAGTAAGAAAAATCAAATATTTTCCATAAACAAATATATTTGTGTATATATATATATATATATACACAATATGTGTACACATGTGTTTTTTTTTTCTTTTTTTTTTTTTTTTTTTTTTTTTTTTTTTTTTTTTTTTTTTTTTTTTTTAATATCGTAATCGATCATATATGGAAATAAATAAACTAAACCATTCATTACATTACTCAGATTAGACAAAGAAGATCCAGCGGTAAGAAAGTGAGAGGAATTTTAATGGATCTTTTAAAAAGTTGTGGAGATCATCGCAATGGGAGTACAAGTTCAAGTAAAAGATGTTCCAATGGAAAAGAGGCATCAAATTCGGTTAATTCCTCACCATTAAACAACGTCACATCTTGTAACTCGCCAGATGCTGCTTGTTCAAATTTGCAGCAATCTAATGGAAGGTAAATTATTTATAAATTATATTTATACATATATATATATATATATATATATATATATATGTATAAATATAATTTATATGTATAATATATATATATTTGACTTCGTGTGAATTCAATTGTTAAATAAATAAATAAAAAATAATATTTTCTTTACCTGCAGATGTTGTCACGCGTATACACGACGTATCGAATCTCAACTGGAAGAATTTCGTATGGAAATGGAACGAGTACGTTCGCGTTCCGATGCTATACTAAATTTACTCAATATGCTTCATTCTGTTGAAATGAACTGATACAGTTTAAACAACATTAGATATACGTGCCCTTTCCTTTGTACATAATATTTTTTCTTTCTTATTTCATGATTCGTCTTATTTTATATATGACCATTCTTTTTTTTCCCCCTCCATCGTCTAACTTCATCGATAATAAAAAGAAAATGCATTGTCGATTTATTGAATAAATATACATGGTTCGAAAACCGACTTATAAAATGCTTTCTTTTTTTTTTTTCTTTTTTCTTTTTTTTTTTTTTCTTTTTTCACAAATCCATTACTACCACCAATCCTTTAAGTGATAAACCTGTTACCTTAAATTTCTTCAAAATTTGACGGATCTTTCGAATACGAATGAGTCCCACGATAATTTAAAAAAAAAATTTATATCTCATAATAAAGTAGTAAAATGTAAGCTCTGTTAATAAATACTGTTAAAAGTATTAAAGAGCATGTAAAAATGCTAAAAATATATAATAAGTTAATTTTAATAATTGCAGTCGCAAGAATCGTATCCAGTACCAAGCGCACCATCCCCTGGTAAACCAACCGGACTCTCTCCTTGTCCTTTAAAAATATTACTGTACGAAGTTTTTAGATAATTCACATGTCCTTGTAATGATCTGATACGACCTTGAGCTTGTTCAAAAGCTTCATTTAGATTATTTATCTGACTCTGCATCTTTTGCCTAATCTGTAATAATGTTAGAATAAAAATGTTTTATTACAATGAATTTACCTGATTAAAATGGATTCATGGAAAGAGAATTACCTCGTCTCTATCCTTCTGTGCTGCTCTAGCTGTTGCTCTACACTGAGCCAATTGTCTTTCCATTTCAGCTATTTGACCTTGCATTGTCCGTCTAACTGTTTCGCATCTTTCTTTAGTACGTGCTACCTGTCTTGCACTGTCTTCTCTCACCTTCAAGAAATTATCGTAAATATCAAAGAAAATAATATTAGTAAATATTAATAATTATCAATATTTACTAATACGGATATTTTCAAATTGTTATTTGAATATGTACTTGTTCGAGCATTGCAGTTAATTGAGTAATTTCATGCATCTTTTCGTCCATGCGTTTTTTCAATTGTGCCTCGTGTTCTTCGAATCGAGCAAGTGTATTTTTCATACGTTCATTGTCGTGTCTTAATTCAGCATTTTTCTTTTCTAACTCATCGAATCGTCCCGTACCATGTCCTCTTTCGTCCTAAAATAAATATCAAACGATTTAATATCATTCATTTTAATCGATCAATCGAATGTTTAAACTTACTTGTAATGCTTGATGCTCGTTACGTAATACATCCAATTGACTTTGTAACGTTTGAATCTTATCCTTACATCCTAAAAGTTCACGTGAAAGATCTTCGCAATTACGCTCGGCTACTAATCTCATTTGTTGAGCTTCTTGAAGTTTCATTTGAGTTTGTTTCAAGATATCCGGCAATGGAGCGAGTTCAGCGAGTTTTTCTTGGAATTGATTCTATTTCAATCAATCAGACGATGTAATTAATATTAATCGATATTATTTCATAATGAATAATAAATGAGAATGAACGTACTTTAACTCTTCCAATTTCTAACGTTACATTTTCATTCATTCGAGCATTATCCATTTCCATGAGATCGAGTTGCCGGCGTTGTTCTTCCACCTGTTGCTGAGCCTTCAAATAGTTTCGTTATTTTTAAATTCATCGATTCGATCAAAAAAAGAAAAGAATACGAAAATAAAATACAATTCGATCGAGAACGTACTTGTAAATATTTATTACGATAATCCTCTAATTGTGCAGCTTGATCTTGAATTAATGATCGAAGTTCTTCCAATTCGTCCTGCGCTTTTCTAAAACGTTCTTTGGCCATTAATAAGGCTTGCTCTTGCTCTACCATTTGCTCTTTTTTTCCTAATTTGCAAATTTAAAAATAGTAAATTTGTATGAAGGAGCAGAGAAATTTGTTTAGAAAACGAATACCTTCGAATTTCTCTCTTTCGGCTTCTAAAGATTTCAAACGTTCTTGCGTATCTATCAATTTTATTTCCATCCTCTCCTTTTCATCCCTTGAGTCTCGAACTTCTTGTTTCAATTTTTCCGTATCAGTACGTAAACAAGATACCTCGCATAATTTATTTTTATAATCATCTTGAAGACGTGCGTATTGTTCTCGCAAATCACGTAATTGTTGTTGAGGACAAGTGCTTGCACCCTGACGAAAGGGGAGGGGGGACGAGGAAAGATAAGTAAAACGAACTACATCAAAAATACCTAAAATCTCAAGTGATCTCAAATCTGGCCAAATGATCCTTACCATAGGTGCCATTATACAGGGCCCAGTACACATAGCAGACGTGGATTGTTGACTGATCTGCGCCTGACCAAAAACGAGCGTAAATGTCTTCAGAGCTGTGAGTTAATTTATTTATATCGAACATTATGATTACTCACAAACTTACTGTTAGACATAATAATGTTTGTAAAATGTTACAATGGAAAAGAAATTCTGAAAATACCTTTGGAATAGGTATGGGTGAAATCGTTCCATTTCCAGATGGTGGAATCGTGGGAGGTAATTGATTATTTGGAATATAATTTGATATCATCGAAGATTGAAGGCCTTGTGAAAGACCACCGCAAGGTGGTGGTGCAGGACAACAAGCACATGGTGCACAGGGTCCGGAACATTTAAGCAACTTGCGTTGTTGCTCGAGTTGTTGACGTTCTCGTTGAACATTTGCTAGTTCTATCTGCATATTTCGTACTTCACACTCCATACTACCTAATTGTTGAGCCTATAGATGAATAAAAACTTATTGTAAAAATTAAAACAGAGGATAATATCAGGATGGAAAATGAAAAAAATATTGAATATTAAACAAAAGTACCAATTGTTTGGTATTGTTCCCATAAATAGCAAATTTATTTTCTAATTCAGCCGGGCAAACACCTCTTGGTGTCGGCTCAGGACATGGTTTTGTACAAACTGTAGGACTACGGAAACACATCTCTTCGATTTGCGATGAACTTCTACTCAATATACAATTGCCTGTTCTCGATGCACCACCTGCTAATCTCGATGAGCCTAATACATTAAAAGTAAGTTCGAAAATTTTTCATTATTCTATTATATTTATTTCTTAAAGAAAAAATAAGATCTGATAAAGTATTCTTACCACAATCGTTTGAAGTTTGATTGCTATATGGGTTTACTAAAAAAAAAAAAAACAATTAGTAATTTAAAGTAAATTAGTAATTTATAGATCTTTCGTAAGACATATATAAAGGGGTAAAAAAAAAAAGTAGGATTTATAAATATATGTATATATATATATATATTTTTTTTTTTTACCGCATACAGAGGTAGGTGACTGAACGGGACTGTCGCATGGGACACAATATTTGCACTGGCAACAACCGTGATCTTGAAGCGAGGAAGTTACTTGGGAATATGCTGGCAAAGGTGAGACCACTGGCGGTGAACAAGATGATCTACGTTCTGGACATGTGTAACAGCAAGTAGAAGTAGTGACACGTTGATTTAAACAAGCCAATCGACGATTTAATTCCGTATTCTCCTTCATTATTAAACGTATTTCAGCTTGCAAACCGCATACCTTCCGTTGAAGACACTCCACAGCTGTATCTTTCTCCAATAGTGCTTCTTCCAATTTGTATCTATAAATTTAATCGCGACAAAAATAGGCGACGCTCGTTCCTTATCAATGACATATATTCGAATCACACGTTGCACGTTATAAATAGGATGTATTCATTTTCAATCAGGTTGTCATAAAGTTGTAAATGACTGTATCGTGCTCGTCGAGCTTAAAAATTACATCTTGCGACATTCGTTAGGCAAAAACATTGATAGCTCGTTGTCACGGTGATTAATTGACGTTTTTATCATTTCTTTGTTTAACATTCGATTGTTTCGATGTAACTTAATGTATCTATATTTTGTAAAATCAGTAATACAATTAATCTTTACAAACATACTTTCCACCCTCAAGTTGTGCATTCTCTTTAACTAATTTCTCTTGCATTGTCAATGACTCGGTCAATTTTCCTGTTAAATTTTGCAAACATTCTTTCTTTCCTCCTCGATCACCATCAGCTATCACGATTTTTGGCATTTCGTCTTCTGTGTAACCGCAAACGATTACTCTTGGAAGCCTTTATAAATATATATATATATATATATATATAAAAAAAATAATATATATATATAATAAAAAAAAGAAATTATATAAATAAATAATATAGAATAATATTATTTTAATTTCACTTACTTATCTTCTTGATACTCCGGTTGAGGTAAATCAAAATGATCATCTGTTACCGGCGATATTGGCGGCTTAAGTTTTCCTTTAATATCATCAACTTTTTCAGCCGGTAAAATTTCAATCTCTTCTCCAGCACCCTGTATACATGAAATATGTATTTCTAAATCGCTCGAAAAGATCTCTACGTTTAAAGTGAAGATCAATAAAATATCGTAGGAAGTCAAGGTAGTGCAGCTAAGTATTCTCCCCGCAAAATAAATCCAGAAGATATTTCAAAGGAGAATATTCGAAAAATCATGCGAAATTTTAATGAAATTATATATATAGAAATTTCATACAAACGTAATATTCGTCAACTAGCCAGAATATCCTTATAGGATTTATCACATGTTAAGAAAAGAAAAAGATCAATAAAAGATCTTACCTCTATTGATCTTGTATGAGGATAAGGTAACAAACCGAACATTCTTGAAAATGTTTCGCTAGTAGGATCAGTTAATCCTAATAATCTCTGTAATTTCCGTGTCATTTGTTCAAACTCAGCTAATTTCAACATTAAATCTTCTTGCTTCTTTTGAATCAGTATTGTATCATCATCTGTCAATTCTTTTTTCTACATAAAGAAAAATATGGTAAAAAAGGGAGAGAAAGAAAGAGAGAGAGAGAGAGAGAGAGAAAGTTATAATATATAATACTATAGGATTAAAAAAAAAAAATGACATTTACATTGGTAAGCTCAATCATTTCTTCTTTTAATTTTTTTATCTCGCCTGCGACTATATTACATCTTTCATCGGCTATTTTTAACTCTTCCATCACAGATTCTTCCGTTAAGGGTGAAGAACTTAACATGGATTCTCGGCGTCTACCAACTTTGACGGGTATACCTATTTTATATAATGAAATGAGAAAAAAAATCTCTTTTTTCTACTATTTGTTTGGAAGAAAAAAAAGAAAAAGAATTAAAAAAATAAATAAATTTAACGCACCTTCGCCAGCACCGGATGGTATTGGATAAGGAGGTGGAACAAATTGGTCATCCATCTCTTTCAATGTTTCTTCCTCCGTGTCATCTAACGTTTCTTCAAGGTTCTTCTCTTCTTCTTGCAATTCTTCGTCCGCCATTTTTTTGTTTATCTGATTTTCCTGCGCGACAGTATTACTGCAAGGAAAAAAAAATAAATAAATAAATAAAAACGTATTGTTGCAATACCAATGATCTCAATGAAATTGTTCAAAATTGTTCATTTTCTCTTACTTCAATGAATCCTTCTCGTTTAAATGATTTATTAATTTTATTGGATTTACGTTTGGCTCTTCACTTTTTTCTAACGTATTATACGGAAAACTATTTTCTTCGTCGATTTTCTAAAAAGAAATTTGAATGAATACTACATTGTCTTGAATGTTTAAGTATATATATATATATATATATATATATATATATATAATAATAATAATAATAATAATAATAATAATAATAAAAATAAAAAAATAAAAAAGTCATACCTGTTTTGAAATATTTGGGAATACTTTCGGATATAATTCAGTAGTTTTTACAATCGAATCTCCCGCCAAATGTTTCCCGCCCTTAAGATTATGCCTTTCAAAGACGATATGTTCTTTATAATGCTGAATCTGAACTAAATTTAATTTCGATAGATATAATGGTTTTTTTATATCAAATAAAGATTCTAAAGATGCAAATGCATCCCTTTTTATAAATAGAACGTCTCCGTGCTCCCCATTATTCTTCTGAAGTTTTCCACGTTGCAAACGTCGGCGTTTGATATCAAACAATTTTTTATTATTTTTTCCAGAAAGAATATCAGATCCGTGAAGGAAAACGGATGTTGTGGAATTTTTTGGAGAATGTAATTGATTGAGTCCATACAGTCGTCGCGTCTGAAATTAATTATTTAAGTCTCATTTTTTTTTTCTTTTTTTTTCTTTTATATAATATAAAAATAATTTAATATATTTAATATTTAAAGTAGATAATTTAAAAAAGTAATTTTTAATTATAAAGTTTAACGTCAATAAAGACTGAATAATCCCGTTTTTTTTTTTTTTACGTCCATTATAATGTAATAAAAATAAATATACGCGTTTATTACTTCGTATATTAATTTTTACCTTCATTCTTTTACCTTCGTAACAACACCGTTCTTCGCGCAACTTCTTTGATCTCTTGATCGTTAATATTTAAGAAAAAAGAAAAAAAGAAAAAGTATTTATCGTGTAGATTTTCGTTTCTGTTTTTTTGGCGAAGATTCAGTGTTGATATCAAATAGCGGCGAACAATTTTCAATGTCTTTTAATCGAGGCTGAAAAAAATTATTTTCTATTATTAATTAATTTCGTAATATTATATTGTCGGGGGAAAAAAAAAAAATTAGACGTCACTCACTTTTAGAGAAACTCTATTTGACAAAAATATAAACACGTTACGATCATCTTTTATCTGCCAATAATTTCATTCGATTAAAAATGTATCACTTGAATGCAGTTATTGTAACTATGGTGCAAGTATTTATCTTGTATATTATTTACACAAATATACATTTATATATAAGAAAAATTATATAATCATTATTAAAATATGTAATATAGTATATATAATAAAATATTTATGTTATCTTAAAGGATATAAAATTGATAAAATCTTGTATATAAAATGTAGAAGTTATACGTTTCAACGTATTTTTAATGGCTCCATCTAATGGAAAAATGTATGAACTAATTTTAGAAAATTATCCTTATTAATAAATTACATTTTCTTTTAATAACATTTAAATAAATTAATTTTATCTATGCTATAATGTATATGTAAAAAGATATATAAAGTTTCTAATCAAATTATTTTAAGTTACTAAATGGTTTATATATTTTTTTTTAAGAACCTATTGGCGCTACAATCGCTAATAGATTGATCCTATGTATGTTCATGTCAAGTATAAATTGTAAATATCCTAACGCGTTTATATTTACATTGAATAAAAGTTATTGTTTACAGAAAGAAAAACTATTGTTGAAAAAAAAAAAAATACTATTTCTTATTTATGTCATTATGATCAAGAACTATCAAAGATAAAATATGTTAATATAACCAAATAATATGTTTTAAATTGAATAAAAATATAATTCTTATCAAAGCAATGCTTATTATAGCATAAAATAATAATATCTTAACAAAAAATGGAAGATATGGAATACAGTTAAGTAATGGCTTTAATATTACTTATAAATATAGAAGGGAAAATGTAGTAGTAGTAATAAATAATTAATAATAAACATTGTTAATATTATACAAATATGATAAGTTGTTTTTTTTTTCTTTTTCATTTTCTCAGGTGAAGAAGAAGAATCGGAGGAAAGAAATCTTATTCCTGAAAGGCTTCCTTCACCCATTGAAAATGTATCTGAAGAAAATGTATTACCGTCTAATAATGAAGAAAATGATTCAAGTACTGATACTGTTGCTGATAGTTTAATTAATGAGCCAATTACAAAATGTAAAGTATATTTTGAATTCTCTTTATCATATAATAAAAAATATTTTATATTTATGTATTACACACATATATATATATATATATATATATATATATATATATACTTTTTCTAATTAGGTCAAAAAATCTCTGTGACAGAAGAATCTTCAGCAGATAATAATGAGAATACAGATGATTCTGATCAATCGTGTCCAATTTGTATGGAATTATGGACAACAACTGGTGAACATCGTTTGTGCTGCTTACGTTGTGGACATTTATTTGGACACAGTTGCCTTTTAAGGTGGTTACAGGTTTCTTGTACATCTTCAAATCGAAGATGTCCTCAATGTAATAGAAAAGCTGCTGTAAAAGATATTAGGATGTTATATGCTAAGAAATTGGTATGCATTGATACCTCTGAATTGGAAACAATGAAAAATCAATTGTCAACTGTAACAGCAGAAAAAAATCGTATCGAGGCAGAATTATCAAAAAGCAATCTTCGACAAAAGTTATATGAACAACAATTGACTACTATGAAAAGTCGTATTGCTGAGCTTCAAAGTCAACTCTCTACTACAAAAAGTGATTTTAATCGTTGTCAAAGTATGTCAACAAATACAAACACAAAATTTCATCTTGAACATTCTTTAGAGATTTGTAAAGAGGATGGATGCCGTGTATTAGATTACAATCATTGGTATGGATTATTGGCCGTTTCGCAAAAATCAGGAAATTCATTATTCCCAGGATATGGTGTAAAAAAAATAGATGTCGAGAACTTTGTACCACGTCAATTTCTATTCCTTCATTCTCAAGCTATAAGAGACATTAGTTTTCATCCCTCGCAACAATCTGTACTTCTAAGTGTTGGCTTTGACAAAAGTGCTAAATTAATTGATATCCAAAGCAATACTATAATGCACTCATATACAACAGATTTTACATTATGGAGTTGCTGCTGGTCAGGTGATGATTCTAATATTTTTTTTGCTGGTGCTCAAAATGGATCGATAATGCAATTTGATATTAGACAAACATCGACTCCCGTTGATCTTTTAGAAAGTTCTACTGATAGATCACCTGTTATTTCTTTAGCAACAGTACCTGCATATGCAGGAAGTGGAATTAGCAGAGGTGGATTTATAGCGTGTCGTTTAAACAGTTGTAACGCGTACGAACTGAAGGAATCTACATATATATCAAAAGAAATGAATTTACAAGGTCCTTTTGTCTCTGTACGTTATGATAAAAAAAATAATCACGCTCTTATATCTTGTCGACCTAACGAACGATTACCTCAAGCAAGACATATTGTATGTTCTATTGAAAAAGGAAATGATGAAATGGTTTTATGCAATATTGTACATACATTTAATGCTGGAAATTCTCAACGTCTTTTGTCACGTCCTTGTCATGTATCTGTAGAAAACGATACGCTAATTGCTGTCCACCAAGAATCTATTAGTAGTATTCCATTTTGGAGTACATCAACTGGCAATCAAGTGCATACACTTCCAGTATCTGATCCAATCATAGATATGTGTTCTTTCAAAATTAATGACAATGTATATTTAGCAACTCTTTCTGCAAGAAAACTTAGAATGTACAAACATAACTCCTTGTGACAATGATACTTTTGCTAACTATTATTACTTATTAGTCAGTTACCTTATTTGTGATCTATTGGAAACATAATTTAAAAATATTACATGTAAATATTTACTTTGAATGTAATAATAACTTATGAATCTACTAAGTAAAATGATTAAGGAACTATAAATATATATTTTAATACCTATTTTATACAATATTGTATTCTACCTATAATATTGTTTACAAATCTTCTGCAGCAAAAAGAATTTTGCTCAAATACAATAATATAAAGACAAAAGATATAACTAACCAATTGTTAGTATTTTTTCCTAAATTGATTAGATATAAAGTGGAAGTAAGTCATGTTAAAAATTAAAAATAAGAGATCTACTTGAACAAGGATTCTTACTTTGGTTTAATTGAATTGACATGCGTTTGAAAAGAGAACGATATTCGATACAATTGACTCAATATTACATAAAGTTGAGAAATTCAATTGTATACTACATATTTAATATTTTCTCATATATAATATAAAATTTGTTTGTTTTATTTTTTCTTTTTTCATCGAACTCGTATAGTAAAAAAGAACCATTAACAAAATTTAATAAGGATTTTATAAATCAATTTCTCGTGTAACATAAAAATTTGTTTAAATAAATTTTTTAACTAAATAGTATGAAATATTACAATCTGTGTTTGTTTGCAAAATATTTTTCCATATTGTAAGATTTTGTAATGCATATTCAATGCATTTATAATATATATTTTTGAATACGTTTCGAATAACATAATTAACAGTAATGAATAAATGCAGTAGTTGTCTGAATCTGGAATGTCAATCACTAAATTTGAATATAAAATAATATTTCTATGTGCATATGAGGTGATGAAGAATCAGGTCATTGTCCATAACCCAACACCAGAAATGTACAAAATGTAAATATTAACAATATGGTATTTAAGTGTATGAACGTTTTTATAAATACAATCTAACATTATTAAATCTTCATCTATTTCAGTAACATACATTCCGAATCTAATCACATTACACTTCTATATGTTTTAAGAAAAGAAGTGTAGGGAAATAATATTGAAGATCAAAAAAACATGTTTTCTGTCTTGATATATGTTCTTATATAAGAAGCATCGTATCATATATTGACTTCTGTAACATAAACCAATATATATCAGGTACCGTTCTACAAGAGATTTCACTACAGTACCCAGAAAAATTTCTTTAAGTTTACTTGTTTATAAAGAAAAAACAAATATATGCAAAGTATGATTAATATCCTGATCTATAAAATTTATAAACGGATTATAAAGAAAAGAAGACGTATATGTTTGTGTTTGTTTTGTGTACAACATAAAATTAAAAGAAATACACACTCAACCATTCAAAACATTAATCGTTCTGAAACATCGTACAATTATAAAAAAAAAAAAAAAAAAAAAAAAAAAAAAAAAAAAAAAAAAAAAAAAAAAAAAAAAAAAAAAAAAAAATAATAATAACATAAAGACGTAATAAACACACTACTCAATTTCCATAACAGTTAAAAATATGCTAGTAAAGCATATTTATCACCTCATTTAAATTAAGATTAAGAACTAAATTTTTGTTTGCAAATCTTATCTTTGAGATATACAGCTAATTATAAATTTTGCCTTTATACGTTTCATTAGATTTTTTTTTTAAGCCCGTATTTTATAAATCAAGCAGATAACTATTAAAGATATCAAATCAGATCTATTGAATTCTCTTTTTTCTTTTAATCTTTTTTTCTTATACTGGAAATATTGCCATTAAAGGAGCTGAATTTTATTATAAAACTGCTATGGTATTATTAATTGAGTGTGTCGTTACAGAAGTTCCTAAATGACAAAATGAGTGGTCTTTGTGTGATGAATTAACTGTACAGTTATCACTAACTGAAGAGCTGCTCAGTGGCACGTTCCAAATCCCAATTATATGAGGAAAGAGCAACTCTTGCATTATGTTCTTCAATCCCCATGTCTGTTAATCTTCTTATTTTTTCATCTAACTCTGGCATCTTTGCAGGTCCTATAATTGTTTACAATAAATTTTATATATAAACGACATATCATTCATTTAAGCAAAATAAATTTGTATCTTCTGTTAATGATAAAGAAAAAATATTCGTACCACCCGCATATACAAATGTCCAATGTTTTGCAGTTTGACGAAACATATCAGGCTGTTCTTTATATTGTTTAGCTACTACTGCATCCTGAGGATCATCCGGTTCTGCTGCAGATAACAATGCTTGTAATGATAGCAATACTGTTCGTAAAGTCATTGCGGCTGCCCTTAAATGTAACAATAAAATTTCAAAATATATTTCATGTTATATGTATAAATCCATAAGAAAATTTATGCATCAAATTCTTTTAACAATATAACAATATTTTCAATATAGAAAATAATAAAAGATAGATAAATAGACATATGATATAGAATTATGTACCATTGATCTTTTAATATATCCAGACAAATAGCACCCGTAACCGAAGATATGTTAGGATGCCATATTTTTGTTATAAAACGAACCTATAAGAGAAATAAAATAAATTAAATAAAAATAATTTAATGAAAAATTGTAATGTATAGAAATTGCAGTATATTTTACATCGACACATCATAATAATTATCATATTTAAAATGATCAAGATATTTAAAACACATTAACTTACAAAGTGCTTACTTTAGGAGGATTGAAGGGATAAGTCTCAGGTACTTTGATTTCAAGTACAAAATTACCTCCCTCATAAGGTGTATCTGGTGGCCCAGCTATTTCTCCTTTTAATTCAGTGAAGCTATCATTTACCAACTCGACTTTAATTGCACACTTTGCCACCTGTAGCAAGATTTAAATAGCAATATAGGAGTTTGGATAGTTACAAAAAAATTCATCAAAATTAAATTGTATATTTATATTCTATCTTAAAAACATTTGATGAAAGAGGTCAAATTGCATGAATTATTATGCTAAAGAAAAACAAATGAAAGTAGAAAACAACATATTTATCATGCTATAGTGGAAATAAATAATATATATGTTTACATTTTTAAATTACTGCTGATAAATGAAAGTTTACACAATGACACATAAGAATCCAAACAAGAATATTACTAAATGATACTTTTAAATAAATCTTGCATATGGTACAAACAGTTTTGTTGTTCCATTTTATAAAAAAAAGAACATAATATTACCATAACCCTTGAACCCAAGGATAGATAAGAAAGCACTACAAAAAATATCCTATAACGATAACATTTAATTTCAATGTGGTAATGATTACAACACTCTCTTCGAGATATCTTATATACAAATACGTAAAAGCTATTTGTTACTGCAAAACTAATTCAATAAAGAAGTGGACATAATGGAGAAGCAAAAAATACCTAAGGAAATAAAGTGTACACGAGAAGAGGAAAAATCAGGTATGCAGAAAAAAGCAAAAAAAGAAAAAAAAAGGGAATTTCTCTATCCGTTCTCTTTTATTTTGGTAAGAAAGGGAAAAGTCAATTGGTAGGATAATCTTTGGCATATCTACTGTAAAATCCGAAAATATGATATGACAAATACGCCATCGATTATAACTATCTATTTTTGCTGACTCAGCAAGAACATAATTCGGTTACTTCGACTTTATATAACACTTGTGCGATTAAATCACAAGCGTATCGTAAATACGAGATATATTATTCTAATATAACCCGAAAATTGAGATTCGATTTTATTTAGAGGATCACTCGCATATTGACTAGAGTTCGCGCTTGTCTGATTTTCGTAACACGGAGATATGTTAGAGCTTACGATAGTCCAATGGTCATCGGACTGAAACGTTGTTCATAATGATTGACAAGTATTTTATCGTGCATTCATGAGAGACAACAGGTGATTTCGCGCTTCTTTCATAACAATTTGCTCGACGAAGAAGTTCCGGAGCACATCCTCTTTTTTTCTTTCTTTCTCCCTCTCTCTCTCGCTTTTTCTTTCTCTCTCTCTCTCTCTCTCTCTCTCTCTCTCTCTCTCTCTCTCTCTCTCTATCTACTTATCTCTCTCTCTCTCTATCTATCTCTATCTCATTCTGTCATGCCGTGCACACGGTGTGAGATAAAGAAAAGAGTAAAAGTACACGAAAAGCCGCAAAAGCCGCATAACCGCAAAGCGCTTCTCCTTCGCGCATTGATTCGAGATCGAATCTACGTTGTCTGCTCCAAGAGGTGATCCCTCCACTCACCTCCTCACTCTTTATAACCTCTTTGAATTCCCGTTTGATTCGCTGCGCCGCGATGTTCGCCATAGTTTCCGAATCTTTAACGCGCGACGTCGTCGTTGTCGTCAGCACGCTCTCATCGTCTCTTTGAGTCTCGCGTCTTAACGAATGGAATCGAGGAAGTACTGCTGCTCACGAGCGTCAGCCGGTGCACGCTCTCCTCCGATGCTCTTCGTCCTCTCTCCGTTAACTCTCTCTCTCTCTCTCTCTCTCACACTCTCTTTCTCTCTCTCTTTCTTTCTTTCTCTCTCTCTCCCTCCCTCTCTTTCTCTCTTGCTCGCGCGCGCACTCTTTCTCTTTCTTCGCGATATGTATCTGTACCGTTGAATTTGCCGTTCGGCGCAACTCGAATTTTTCACGATACGATCAAAAAAGAGAAGGACAAGGAAATCTCTTTTTATCACCCTTCTTGATTCTTCTCTCTTCCTTATCAAAAATCTCTTTTCCTGTGGATGCATTCAATAACTTGTCGTACTGATCACCGTTGTCGGCGCAGCATCGATGATATATAAAAACTCTGACTGTCAGTTGTTCTCTCGTGGTCTCTTTCACCCTTCTTAACTCTTCACATTTATTTAATGCGCACTCTTACGGTTTTGTCTAAAATCACGGCGCCATGTCGCGTTCGCGCCATTGCGCCGCTCAAAACTGCCGCCAAATTGTAAATACGCCGGAATCAATTGTCCTTTCCGTTCTTTCGCTCATTATCGTTCAAGGACGTTCTAACTGTAAGAAAAAAAAAGTTACGATCAAGATATTGCTCTTTTTTTATCCTCGAGAACACGTATCTTTTTTTTTCTCTCTCTCTCTCTTCCTTTCTCTCTCTTTTTTTTTCGTTTTTTCTTTTTTCGAGGCCAATGTTCTCTTCTTCGCCTTCCCACATAATATATCACTTTTTTTCTCAACTACTTTTTTCACTACGTGGATTATCGACGTCGCGTAAAAAATGAAAAAATGTTTATTCATTTTTATTTTAAGGAAATGTAACGCGTTAAATTATTTTTCTTGTATACCTCCTCAAGGTCACCGAATACGACGTTTCCCGCGCCAAACTTCTCACTCTTAAATGTGTGTATACATATATATACAATATATGTATATATATACACATACACGTACGTCGTGAAGCATGCTCTGCAACAAAATGGTGACGTGGGAATGCACTGCGTGACCTTAAAAAAAAAGAAATCTTTTTACGCGTTTTTCTTGTTTCTTTTCATTTTTTCGATTAAACAACGAAAAACATAAAGAAAAAGATGTAACGTCGTAAAAGATCAAACAACGATAAGAAAAGAATAGACTGTATCGTTTACCGCGGTAATATCCGAGTCAAAGTGGGCGGAGCGAAGCCTCCTTACGTCGCTTCCGCCGCCGCAGAGAAGGGATGTACCATTGGTTGGGGGTTTTCGGTGCTTTCTGTTTTTCAGTGATGCCTGTGTCGCAGCCAGTGCGTGCTAAGAGTTTGTTACGGGCAAACTTAGAAAACTCTCGCGGGAGATTACTCTGTAGCAGAATGCCCAATATTAAGGTATTCAGTGGGACATCTCATCCTGATCTTGCCCAAAGAATTGTTGACAGGCTCGGAATCGACATTGGAAAAGTTGTCACGAAGAAGTTCAGCAACCTCGAGACATGGTAATGGTCGTTATTACTTACGCGTTAACCACGTTTATTCTTATTCGTTTAATGAGTTAAAACGAAGTATAGACCACGTGTCACTGCGACATTTATAAATATTACCTTTGTTTTATCCTTCTCTCTACGAAAGTATATTTTAAATCATTTATTTCTATGTTAGCTATTTATCGTACCTACGTTTTTAATGTTTCCCATCGCTATAGAACTTAATTCACTCATGCAAAAACCGGTGTTCTTGCGTTTCTTTTTTTTTCTTTCTTTTTTTTTTTCTACTTACACGCAATTCTTTCATATAATTGTCGATTATTATATATTAATTCGAAATATTATTTTGTCGATGATGATTCGTATTATTTTCGATATATAAATAATTTTTCCGATATGGCATACATCCTTTCGTATGTAATAATTCCCTCTTGGTTATATGTTTAGTTAAGTACAAATATATCTTTTTCGATATCGCGAAATTTAGCATGTTCGCCGTTAAGTAGTATATATCATTTTTGTCGCGTGACTGAATTTATCTGACCAATAGTTGTCTCGTATTAAAAGACATTTCTAAACATTATTTAAGACTATATTATTTTAAAAGAGTAAAGAAAAATAATCAAAAATCTAATAATACAATATTTTTTAAATTTCATTATAACAGTGTAGAAATAGGAGAATCTGTCAGAGGAGAAGATGTGTACATTGTACAAAGTGGAAGTGGAGAAGTAAATGATAATTTGATGGAGCTCTTAATTATGATCAATGCTTGTAAAATAGCATCTGCATCCAGAGTAACTGCGGTCATTCCATGTTTCCCATATGCAAGGCAGGATAAAAAGGATAAGGTAAAATGAGAATAAATCAATATATTTCATTTATTTTTCTTTTTAAATTTACTTCATTAAGTAACAGCCTTGAGAGTTTTTTTTTTGTTTTTTAATTTTTGGTTATAAGCCATTCACGAAATGTAAAGTGATGATCTTTTTATATTAATGCTACAACCTATTTTCAAATAGCTGATTTTAAAACCTTGTATCAAAAACTGGTAAGTTATATGATTTTTTTTAATTTTTATACATTTTTATTTTTCATTTATAAAACATACGTAATTTTGTATTAAACTTTATCCAATTTATAATCTGTAATAATATCTAAAATTATATTAACCATTAAAATACTAATATAATTATTAAAATTGCAAGGCTGTTTCTTTTTAAATATAATAAATAAAGTTGAATTTAGATATAATAAACTGGATAGTTTTAAATGTCTTACTAATTTATTCTGCCGATTAATATAATCAGAATATCTTGACTTATTTGAATGAAATGAATATTAATTTCTTAGACAGAAAGCAGATAGTAGCTCCGCCTATATTATTTATACCTTGTGATAGTAATAAATCCTGTTTGCATAAGTAACTTTATATAATAACATCCTTGAAATTATATTTTAATACAATACATCACAGTTTCATTCATGATCTACTTTATTCTATTGGAATAAGAAGAAGGACAATATCTTTTTGCTTACAGCTTTTGATAAATGTTTTTTACAGTTTAAATTATGCCATCATTTTAATATGTCTTTAAAATGGAAAAATTTCTCCAGGAAGAAAACTTCTTTTAAACAGAAGTAAAATTTTTTTGTCTGTGATATCTCCACAGGGAGGCGATGGTGGTGACAAGACAAATTCCAATAAGAGTCATATTGTCATGAAGTCAAACGAATGGAAATTCAGGGTAACTTGTGGCGGATCTTATTTTTTATTTTTCTCAGTTTTTATAACTTTGCAACAAACAAATGGAGTATCATGTTATGGATGCAAGTTTTGGCATTTCATTTCCATAAAAAATATGCTTTTGTTTTTCTGCTTTCATATCATTCGCCTGCATTAAATGGTATCTTTATATATTACAGGGTCTTTATCATTTATGGACACTTATGGCACCAATTTATAAAATAGCAATAAATGGATAAGTTAATAGTCTCATAAAAGTAATTGTTTACGTACTTTTGCTCCAAAAATATCTATACAATTAATAAGAAATTTTTACTTTCTTCTTGAATATTATGATATACAAACCCCTAGATAATCCTCAAATAACATATTAAAAGAATTTATACAAATATAATGATCACGAAAACTTTATGAAGCTTTGCAATTAAAATACCTTATACAAATAAACAAATTGCAATTAACATAATTATACAAACTTTCGTTTAATAAGAGGCTTACCTGGGGTCTGTTTGTAACAAAAATGCATGTCATAATCAATATAAAATAATTACAACATTACAAAAAAAAAAATCTCTTAATGTTAATGCAATTAATCTTTTCATATTTTACAATTTAGCAATTTCATTTATATAACCATATTTGTACACAGTATAATCTTGATTATTAAGAGAAAAGCATGATATCAATTTAAAAATTTCATATTACATTGGAATTTGTGGTCATTTTAACAACTGCATTATTCTTGCAAATACATTATAGAAAGCATAAAGAGAAATAAATTATTTCTTTAGTAGCATCAATCATTGTAAACACGTTCTCATATAAAATCAACAGGATATTTTTCATATAACTTTTTTTTATTTATTTATATTATTAATGCAATGTGTGTTGATGAAAAGTAATCTAGTAAAAATATTAGAAATAACATTACAGTGTAGAAATCTTCATAAGTGCATTGCAGATGCAACACATCATTTACAAACAATCAAAATTCTAAAGGTTATCACATGCGAGATAACTTCTGTATATATATTGCAAAATAACTGATAGGTTTCATCAAGGGGGTCCTGATACCTACGCAAAGTGTATGAGATATAATATCGGAATTTTCTTGATCGTAAATAGACATATTTTGCTGTATTTATATTAAGCGTATACATACATAAGTTTTTTTGAGAAATGATAAAAAGAATTTTTAATCAGTAATATTTATGTTTATATCAGTAAAAGAAAAATATACAAACGTTGCTTTATGTTTCTGAATAGTTGGGTATTTTCAGGATATTCTGCCCGACCTGTCTACAGTGAGTATAAGAGCAACAAGATTGTCGAGTGAAGCGTTTGTAATGATAGCTCAATGAACCATTCAAGTTATAATATTTCTTTTTAATTCGATCAGCAAATTTTATTTGTAGGACTAACAAAACTTATATTCGTTGCTATATAGTACAATGGTACCCCCATGAATGAATGACTGATAGAATTAACGAATAAGTAATTGAATGAATGATAAATTGTATAAAAAACATACTATATTGACATCTGAATGAGAGGGCAAAATATTAATATAATAGCACTATACATACATATATCATTAGTAATCCATCTATGGGGTTCATTGATGTGTGCTTGTGGGTACTAATAAACACATACGTAGCTTAAAATGTTATTATTTTTCAATATACTAATATATTTTTATAATAGAGAAAAAGAGAGATATAAAAGATGCCTTATTTAAACATAATGCTTCAGTGGTACAAAGTAACAATTGTACTGTTTTAATAATGCATTGTCATGTTCAGATAATAAAGGTTTGAAATCATTAAATAAATCTTAACACATAATAGCTTTTGTGAAGTTCTTATATAATATAAAAACAAAGTTTTATTGATTTATTATCTTATGATTGCGCACACAATGCATTTCAGTGTATGAAAAACAACATATTATCAGAAACATATTATACATAATAATATGCTTCGTGTTCATTATGATGTTGTTTGAAACAAATTCTTTAAAAATAATACATGATGTATCAGAAAACATATACATTCTGATATTTTTGTTGTGTGAAATGCTACGAAGTAGTATATAACGTGTTTCTCCTATCAATGATTAACTATTAATTTTTAATCTGTTTAAGTGTTTGCCCTCTTGTTCAATATTTATTATCTTTTGCTACACGAAGGCAAAAGATTGAGATGCATTGTGCTGTTATGAGTTTCTAACTTTCAATATTTAGCTTCAATTATAGTTTCTGTTGAGTCTAACTGGGGTGCATTTGCAACACATCTTTGACCTTTATATCATGTTTCTTCCTGTCTATATTTTGTATCAGTATTCAATAATTAGTATTTGGTCATTGTATTTATATTTTGTCCCCTCTGAAAAAATTTTTGAAAAGAAATTAATGATTTTTTTTTTTTTTATATAAATCTAGGAAATTATATGAGAATAATATTATTTAACCAACAAACTATCAAAATTCTTTTAGTAAAGAATGTATTACATATTCTTTCTTAGCTTTACTGATACAGGAAATGTTTAATTGTTTTTAACAGGCAGGCTGCTAAGATAATTCTAACGGTACCTATTTTTTTTTAATTACAGGACATATCCGGTTGCAAATGGACTTGAGGGACTCATTAATATTCATAGTATTTTAAACAATTTAATTATGTTTTACAGAGTAGAGCACCGATCTCAGCAAAATTAGTGGCGAATATGCTGTCAGTGGCAGGGGCTGATCATATAATTACCATGGATCTACATGCTAGTCAAATACAAGGTTTCTTTGACATTCCAGTGGACAATTTATTTGCTGAACCAGCCGTTTTAAAATGGATAAAAGAAAATATTGCAGAATGGCGAAATAGTATTATAGTTTCTCCAGATGCAGGTGGTGCCAAAAGGTAAATAATATGCAAAGGAAGAAATATTTAAAATTGTAAGATTAATTTAGAATAACTTGACATTTTTCAGGGTAACGTCTATTGCAGATCGACTCAATGTTGAATTTGCACTTATTCACAAAGAAAGAAAAAAGGCAAATGAAGTAGCAAGTATGGTACTAGTGGGTGATGTTAAGGATAGAGTAGCAATACTAGTTGATGATATGGCTGATACATGCGGTACAATATGTCATGCTGCAGAAAAACTTTTAGAGGCTGGTGCCACGAAAGTTTATGCAATTCTTACACATGGAATTTTTAGTGGACCAGCGATTAGTAGAATCAATAATGCATGTTTCGAGGCGGTCGTAGTAACTAATACTATTCCTCAGGATGAACATATGAAAGATTGCCCGAAAATACAGGTAAAAAAAGTAATTCAATTTTTATTATTAATTATAATAAATTAATTATTTTTCAGTGTATCGACGTATCGATGATGTTTGCTGAAGCTGTAAGAAGGACCCACAATGGTGAATCTGTATCGTACCTGTTCTCTAACGTGCCATACTAGGTTAAAAATTAGAACATACTCTCCTAAGCTGAATGAGTAAAAAGAATGTAGTCTTTTTACACTTGTTTATTATTATTCTTAGTTTAGTCAAAAGACATTGCCTTTATTGGCTAACGAGAGAATAGTATTTTTAAATTTATTAAATCATTTTTTTGTTTGTTTTTTTTTTTGTTGGTTTTTTTTTTTTTTTTTTTTTTTTAGACAATCATTAGTAGAAATATAATATCTACTTTTATTATGTCAGAGTTTTCAGAAGGTATGTTCGTAGCCATTAGATTAATAAGTAGATCTTTTGTGATCTAATTGTGTGTTATTATATGTCTGCTAGAGGATAAGAAAATGCATAAGAATCACTCCGATAATAATGTCTGATTTAAACAATCAGTAAATAACATATATTGACTTCATTATGCGAACTTTAATTTACATAATAGCATTTATAAATGCCTCAGAATGAAATCAACATAATATAAAAATATGTGCTTTTACAAAAGATAGTTTATAGTACTCATTTGTATTGATTTTACTTTTACAAAGATTTGAGTACGAATGTCTAAAACAAGAGCTGATATTTTCATTAGTTCTAATATGTGCTCTAGATTATTATAAGAATTTTACGATGGATAATTAATAACAAAATAATAATTGAGCCATGTACTATTGGAAATATCTTACCATCATATATATACAAATGCAAGATCTGCAATATATAAACTATTGATAAATTAATGTCAATCTGACAACCCAGTAAGCTATACAAAAATACAAATTAATATGCAAATTGCAGTAATTAAAAATTTTTTATATATATTATATCAATATCTGCTACACACTTTTAATATTTTAATATTAATAAGAGTTTTTTGAATAAAGAAAGTAAATCATTTGTATTGAAACGTTACTTATATAAAACGTTTTTCTTATTGCAAATACATTAATTGCGAATTTAAAATAATCATACCCTGCAATTTATCTCGGACCAATAAAAGAAATAAACATAATTCAGTATGTATGTATACCAAATTGTGTCTAAGAAAATTTGTTTTTGCTTAAAAATATTGCTTATTGTTGTTAAACTGGGTATTACAATAAAAAAAAAAAAAACCAAAGCAATATTACATTGTAGTTTATTGATATCCAAAGACCCATAAGTTTAGGATAAAAAATGTTAATGAATCCAGGCTATAAATTGGTGGACATGGTAAATACACGAAACGATCATTTAGTATTATTTGCTTTGTTCAATACTACATATAATGATAACTATAGTTCTGTTTTATATTGATTGTTCTAATTTCTTAGTAAACAATATACGCGTAATGTATTAATTAAATTATTATAGTTTCAAATATGTATCATTGTATGGAAAAAAAAAAAAAAAAAAAAAAAATGAAAAAGTAGAAACGATTTTTTTGTATAAATCAATTTTTCTTTTTGAAATATAACTTATCAGAAATCGAAAGAATTCATAATATGGTTGTATATATATATATATATATATATATATATATACACAAAAAATATTAAATCCTTGAATCTTTCATATCAAAACCAAAAAAAATTCAAATTTTGTTATGTTCTAATTAAAGTATCATATTAATCGTTAATTTATTCCTTCACAAATCCAGAAGGTAATGTTATGTCGAATACTATTGGTGGATTAGTTGGTAAATAATTAATGTCGCATGTAGATGCATTTATATAAATCACTTTTCCATCAGAAGAAATACCATATCCTATAAAAAAACAAATATAGTAGTAATTTACCTTACTTATTATTCTTTACAAAGTTCTCTAACATATTTTTACAAAAAATTAACTATATACATGTTACTTTTTGATATACCTTCGTGAATATGACCGAACACGTGATATTTTGGTTTCACGCGATTCTGTACCGTAGAAAGCAATTCTACGCATCCTGCTCGTACTCCACTACAACATAAATCTCCATGACCTACAGGAGGTGTATGTGTTACAAGTATATCTGTATCAGGTGGTATCATGTCCCATTTAGAAAGACAAGGTTCTCCGCGTGGCACATTGAAAGCCCATTTACAAAACTCTGGTTGCCTAAAGTTTCAAGGAAACGTTCCTCAAAAAAAAAAGAAACTTAAGCCTGAAATAATTTGCTACAAGTACGAATGAATTAACAAATGTTAATTCTCTTCTTTTATCGATATGTCTGTACGAGTACTTACCACGGTGTACCATATATTTTAATTCCATATAGAATTATTTCAGAATCTTCTAAATAGATACAATTTTTTAAATAATCTTTAATATTAGATGTCCTAATAGCTTCTGCGAGAGTATCTTTTGACATTCCCAACGTGGGTATACCATCGAGAATGCTAGTCCCTGTATGTTTATGACGGTCCCCAGAAGTTTGCATAGTAAAAGGATGTGTAAATGTTGGATCAAAACTGAGTTCATGATTTCCAGCTATAACTATTTTATGTTTGTGTGGCAAATTTCCTAAAAAGTAAATGATCCTCTATTTAATTGATATTCCAGATTTAATTGAAATTAAATAAATATATCTCAGGTTAATAGTTAATAACTTACCGATCCAACTATTAAATTCTATAACTTCTTGTAAACTACCACACTTTGTAAAATCTCCAGCATGAATAAAGATATCACCATTAGGTATATCAAATTGTATAAATGGCGTAAGAGAATGCGTATCACTCATACAAACTACACGTAGCTGATATAGACAAAATTTTGTCATTAGATGATATTATGAATTGAAAAAAAAAAAAGAAAGAAAAAAGAATTGTAACGTATCTTAAATCTACCTTATCATTAGGAGCATCGCTTGTCGGAACTTTGGCATTAATTTTAATAACTTTTTGTTCCTGTGACAGCTCCCGCCAAGCTGCTGTAGGGTTATGTGTCAACGAATGTACTCCTACTTTCATACTGAATTAATATTTATTATAAACGTTTAATGTCTCTTTTCTTATATTGTTAGTTTTACGATTGCTAAAGTACTAACATATTTTTCTACTTATTTTACACTTGTATAAATACAATGCCGTTGGCTTACAATCGTAAGGGCTTTACCCGCCATTGTAAACGGAAAAGGGAAAGATGTCGTTTGAAAGATATCAATGAAATAATATAATTATTAATATTTTTTAAATAAAAAACAAGATATATTATTTAAGTGTTACACCGTAGGTGATCTTTTAAAAATACTATTTTTTATAAGTCTTTGTAAATCGATTTATAAAATCGATTACAAAAAAAAAATCAAGCGATTTATCAAGCGATATAATTAACAAATCAAATGAAAAGAACACATGTGTCGCTGCATGTCGACTTATGTCGGTAAATGGAAAACGCTCTATGGCGTGAATTTGTAGTACTGTTTACAAGTTCTAAATACTGATTTTTCTGAATGCATTTTAAATTAACTTTTATACGAATATCGAATTAAGATTATATTAGCTGCATAATAATGTGTAAGTTTATTTATTTCGTTTTATTTTTATCTTATTCAAAAATATTTTTCTATTGTCCGATAATAAATTTATGATAAACGTTTATTTATCATCACATAATTTTAATATATATATATGTGTATATATATATATATATATATATATATATATATATATATATTTGTCTACTATTTTGTGTTCTTTATAGCTCTCAGTATTAATGATTGGACACCCGAGCATTTTGTTAAAAATCAATCATCTTGTAAATTTATATTGGAAAATTCTGATGCAATAAGAGAAATCCCTTTGTTAAACAATGCACCTTTACATTACTTTAAGGATAAACAAATTGTTAGATTTCGTGGCATGATACAAGATATGTATAATCCTGAATATTATTTTAAAAAGTATGAAGTCAAGAATATACAAAATGGATACTGTGATGTTAGATTTGGAATGTATATGGATTCAATGATATCATCGGTAATAATCAATATATGTATTTATATATGGGGAAGGTCTTACATTATTTATATATCCATGTTGATCATTTAAACGTTTTGGATATGATGTAAGACCAAGAGAAAGGAAATGGTAGTTACAGGTGTGAGATGTTATAAGATTAACTTATCTCATGTATACTGCTACCTACAATTTATTTTTTAATAAATATTTTCATATTTTTCACTTATATTTAATTTTTTAAAGGTTTAATATTTCTTTTTCTTTTTTTTTTCTCTCTAGCCAAATGAAGAAATCATTTTTAATTCAGAAAAGAATATCAGTTCTGAAAGACAAACATGCATTGTTATTTCTATACCAGGATTAAACAATTGGGCAAAACAAGGAGATACAAATATTGATAATTTAAATAGGAATGTAATAAATAATTACAATACAAATAAACGGAGTTTAGAAAATAATGGAGTTGAAGAAATGGATTGTTCAGAACCAACTAGGAAGAAAGAAAAATTGTTGATAGATGAGACAAATGAAACGTCAAATAATGCTAAAATAAATAAAGATAATAATGGTATTTTATCACAGGAACATATTTTAAATTTTCCAATACCGATTGACAACGGTAAAGCTTGTATTGTAAAGGTTAATTGATTATTTTTTATTTCTATTGTTCTTAGAAGAAAAATTATACATTGTTATTCTGTTTACAAATTATGTTTATTATTATTATTATTATTATTACTGTATATTTTTAGGTTTACGATGAAACAATGCATTTAAAGCTGAATCAAGTTGTAGATATAATAGGATTTATATCACTTGATCCAGCATTAAATGTTTTTAATAATTCTGAAGAAATGATGGAGGATGCTGAAATGAACACACATAATCCACCAATTTCTCTTGTACCAAGACTCCATGCGATAAAAATAACTGTACTAACAAAACATGAAATAGAAAATGCTCCATTAATAATGTCAAAAGCACAGGCAATAAGAGGAGATCTTCATATAATTTTAAGTCAGTTGTTATTTGGCGACCAATTGGCTGCTGATTATCTCATCTGCCATTTATTGTCTTCCATGTATGTGTAATGTTAGTATTTAGTATCCAAAAAATTTTCTAGAGATGTTGTATTGTTTTCTTTACAGATATATGAGAAAGGATTATCTTTGTCTTGGTACTTATCCTTTGAACATTACAAATTTTTCTATTACAAAATGCAAGATATTTCCTAAAAAGCTTTATGATTTTTTAACACTATTTGTAAAAAAGAGTCACTTGTTGGAAGTTACATTGGAAAATTTAAATGATATGGCTTTGATACCAAAGTAAGTAATTTTAACAATGTCAATATTTTTATTCCATTAATTTAACACATATTGTACTAATTAAAAAGGAGCTTTTTTTTTTTTTTTACATATTAGGAAAGATTATGTGTGCAACAGATTAACAAGTGGTATACTTCAATTAAGTGCTAATACTCATCTTGTAATTGATGAAACAGGATTGACCAGCGGTCAAGTTTCACAAGCTGGAAGACAGAACTATGATGCTATTATGAATTTAATTACATTTCAGAAAGTGCCATACGATTTTAAATTTTATACAATGGAGTATGATACAGATATACCTGTTTTAATCTTGTCAGAAGCAAAATCTTTTATACCAGTGCGTAAAATTTTTTTTTCGACGAGCTAGTCGAAATAGCTTATAATAAAATAAATTTAATATATAATTGATTTTATTTGACAGTGCCCGACTCAAGTTGTATTAAAAGAAGAATCAGAAAATCATTATTTACAAGTAATTGAAGCTACTAATCAATATTTGAAGGATCAAAATCGATTGACTGACATTCGTCATTATCTTGAAGTTTTAAGGCATACTGAATTTGAATTTAATGAAGATGTTACAAATGTAAGTTATATTAATTATCAAATATCGACAGTTGTATAATGAACTATAATTCAACAAAATATTAATGAGAAACATTATATCGCGTAGGTTATTCAAGATGATTTCGTACAAATGCGACAAACAAATAGAAATATAACTGGAGAAAATTTACATTCATTGATAGTACTGGCAAGACTGATGTCTTTATCTTATGGACAAAATAGATTAACCATAGATTGTTGGAAAAAAACAGTTGCGATGGAATTGGAAAGAATTAATAGATTACCGCAACGTAATAAATAAATGGTATATTACATATATTTGTATATTATAAGTGAGATAGTATTTGTGAATTATTATAGACTTTTGATATAGGATTATTGTGTTGTTCTATACACATCTGTATATGCTTCGATAAATATTTATTTATAAAAGTTTTTCTTTTTTTCTATTTTTTTTTCTTTTTTTTTTTTTTGTTTTCTTTTCATTAAAATAACATATATTATTTTTCATTTACGATTATACGAAAGCTATTCTTTTATTAATAATTTTATATACACGAATAACATTTTTACAATTTCATTTAATTAAAATGAGACACTGATCGTAATTATGAATTGCTTTAAAAAAAAAAAAAAAAATCAAAATGCTTGTATTATTTAATCAATCGTTCTTTTTTTTTTTTCGTAATGACTAAGTTCCACTTTTCAAATATTGGATTCAGAATATAAATCTTATCAGATCCAATGGAGAAATGGAATTAGTTCGTAAATACCGTTCCTTCGTTTATTCTTTATCAATGTTTCCGAACAGAAACATTTAAAGAATTTCTTTTCCATGAATGATTAATGTGTGCGTGAGGATTGACGATGAAACTTTATATACGAATTCTTTTTCAATGTGGCTGGAATCGTTTGTACAAAGAGTTATTTCTCATAAATGGACGGAATACTTAGGCGAGGAGTGCATTGATACGAAGAAAGTCATTAATTGATATTTGAGCAACGAATGTAGATTTA